GAGAGTCGGTATGGAGTGTGGACTGGTAGCTGGAGAGGTGCCAGTGTCACCTCCTGTGCACTGCCGAGGTGCCCTTGAGCAAGGCAACCTAACCCCGAAACCTGCTCATGGGGCGCTGTTAACGCGGCAGCCCCATCACTCCACCATCTCTTCCCTTTGCATGTCCACATGTCCACGTGTGTGTAAAAAAAGAGTGAAAAAAATAATTTTCCCCCTAGGAAATATCAATAAAGTATATCTTCTTCTTCTTCTAAATGTTAGACTACTCCTTTACGTGCTTATTTCAATAGTGTAACTAGTACAGTGCTCACCCTGCAGTAGTCCCATAAGGAATCTGGCCATCGCCATGAGGGCGAGGGTGTGAGAGCCTAGATGGGCCAGAAGAGGAGTACCAGCTGTGATCAGACCCCAGGAGGCTGCAGAGATGAACAGGACACGCTCTCCTCCCACTCTAATACAACAGCAAACATTATGGAGTTAGATCCTGAAACTCTAAACCTAACTCAACAATACATGTTCCATAGAAGATATCAGCTCATTGTTTACACAGAGCCTTGTGAAGACATGCTGCTATGCCAACTGAGTTGCTCACTTGTCACTGGCATGTCCTCCCAGGATCTGTGTGAAACAGTAACCCCAGAAGAATCCACCCAGAACCAGTCCAGAATCGATCTTATTCCAGTGAAAAGAGGCGGCCATCGACACTGCACAGATTGGCATGGCCATCCTGGCACAGTAGAGGAGGCAGGTGCCCATAAACAGCGTCAGGATCCATTTTCCAGCCAGAGGTCTGTAAGCGTGAAGGGGAAACAGTTTGTACTTAATGACAACATAATGTACGTAGTAACTGTAAACACACACACACACACACCAAACTTTCATGGCAGTCCACCTAATAGTTCTTGAGATCTGGACCAAGGTTATTATAGTTAACTAAAGCTAATCTAAAAACTAAAACTAGGTGTGTAAAAACATTTTAGTACACTGAAATAATAATAATAATAATAATAATAATAATAATAATAATAATAATACACTTTAGAAACTAATGAAACAATATTGTGTACTTACAAAACGAACTAAAATAAAAAAGTGTTTGTATTATAAAACCATATCTGATTGTCTTAAAACTTGCCTCAGACAAATAGCTCCCATATTATTGTTTTTTTTTTTCAAAACTAAAACCAATAACGAAACTAATAAAAACAAAACTCAAAGTTAAAAATAAAATAAAACGTACATATAAATAAAATACAAAACTATAATAACTCTGGTCTGGACCAACAATGCTATCCACATAGCAGCACCACCGGCACGACTAAACAAATAACCTAAGCAAGTGTGCTGCAATATTTGCCTCTGCCGTTCTGGTAAATGCATATTACATATTACGATTGACCAGACAGCAAAACTTAAAATCCACTCATTTGAAGAAATCATGTACCGTGTAATCAGAGGGGGGAAGATGGGAAATGTCTGTACTTTCTACTTACATTTTACTTTGAATGCATTTGACACATTACACATTAGTAATTCAGCTCTGACAGAGAACTCAGAACATGTTTTCTCAACAAGTGAGACTCTTTCTGAATGGAAAATCAGAAAGTGTGAAGGTGACACCAGTTGAGAACCACTGACTTACAGACTCTTACTAGCAGTAGGAAGGTGCAAAACTAAATCTCAGCATTATATTCTTAGTCCGATCTAAAGCTTGTGCAGTTCTTACCTGGGCCACAGTTTCTGGTCTTCTGGCTCCTCTTCGGTAGAATCACCGGCTGTACAAACCGCAGGCTCCAACAGAGGACTACTGAACTCATTCCTACCATCTCCTGATGTGTGCTCGCCAGCCATTCAGAGAAAACTGGTTTCTTCTCAGTGGTCTGTGCAACTCTGCCGCGCTGAGAGGTTGTGTGCTTCAGCTGTACCTATTATCCTCAGGCAGACGTGCCAAACAGGTAAAACTTGTTGGGACAAAACTCAAAATAGAACTCGCTTGTGATTTGCAAGACTGAGAGCAGAGGTCTGAGCGGTGGTGGTTTTCCTGGGTAAAAGAGTTTGCATAGGGCCATATTTAATAAGGACAGAAGCATATTTGTTCTTTTAAGCATTTTAAAAACCCATCATTAGTTTAAAAGTAAAATCAAAATTTTTTTTTAGAGTAACTCAACTCATATACTAAATATCAGTGGAACATCACAACTCAGAAAATGTAAAAAAAAAAAAAAACAGCTCTTGTATGGTTCACAAAAGTTTTGTTTATTTTAATAATTGCAAATCTGATCTTAAAAATGTTGAATAATAAAAGGGATGTGAGCTCTCTGGGTCTCAGTATTTGACAAAGCCAATATCTATAAAGACAATACAACCTTAAAAGAAATTAAGGATGGACAACTAGCAGCAAGTTTGTTTTTTTTATAAAAGTAAACAAACCAAATAAAACAAGCACAAGTGCCTTTCCCCATTGAAGAAAAAGAAGATAAACTTACATGCAGTTGAATTGAAAATACTGACGGCTTTAAAAGTGGCAAAATGGACAGGAAGTTCTTCAAAATGCCTGTTCAGATTCAACATCTCAACGCTTTTGATCATTGTTGTTAATTGCGAAAACAAAGCCAATGAACAGAAGAATAAGTCAGAATAGATTTTAATTATATGAGTTCTCTAACTAGAGAGTTGTCGAAATTGGCCTCCGTCACTCATTTGCATTTCTTCATCGGAGCAGCCCTTTCTCTCAAGCAGCGTATAAATCCTCCTTCCATCGGCGGGTCTGGCAGAACGTTATCCTAACCTCAACCCCTTGTAACATGAAACCCATCCACAATCGTTTGGAGCATGTTTGGGGGGCGATGCATTCTTTAGACTCACAAAAAGAAAAAGGGGTTAAAACTCAGTCAGAAAGCCATCTCTGATTTCAACCCGTCAGTCAGGACTTCTTTCAACCCTCTCAAACACTTAAGAAATGATCATTTTGCAAAGGCAGTTCATCCCATAGACATACTGTAAAGGTACAATCACATTTCAAAAAGTGTAGAAAGCAAGTGATTCTAAACAAAAATCGATGAAATATTATATTAATTAAAACTATATTACATTAATAAAGTGTGTCTTTCCATTTAATTGAAAAATACTCACATTTTTGTGTATGAAATTTAAATTTATTTCTGATCTAGACTCTTTCAGTGTGTCATCTCAGTCTAAACACATCTTCACTTATAAAAAGGGCGATTGTGTGCCTGCTGTTTCAAAGTTTAAACCTTTACAGCTGTACTCCCCTCCATCCTGTGGAACCAAGCTTTCGGCTCCACACACACACACACACACACACACACACGTGCTACAGTATTAACAGTGTTCATTTATACCATCAACTCTCTTTCTGGCAAAATAAAGTCTTGGTGGGGGACAACGGTCACAATAAATAATACTATTGGCTTAGGCTTTAGAAAGACAAAATATAAAACAGCAATTTGAATTTCTTTGTCTCCGAGATCTATCTAAAAATCCAGGATACAGTATTTAAACTAAATAATTTCTGTCAATTTGCAAATACAGCAATTTACAGTTTGCACAATGAGTAAAGTCTTAACCTCTCATGAATGAAACATGAAAAAAAAAAAAACAACAACGTAGCATTTGTTTATACATATATGTTACCTGGTTGTCACACAGTCACTGACTGATCATAAATTAAGGGGACGTGGAAGGTGGTTGTTCTTGTCTGTTATGTTCACTTGGGGTCCTCGATGGTGCCTGTGCTAAGGTCAGTCATTTTGGGGTATTTCACCTTCTTCTGGTCCAGCTCATTCTGTGCCCACAGCAGCAGCTTCAGGAGTTTAGCCAGTTTGGGCGTTGACTCTCTGTTTTCATAGTCCAGCACAGCTTGGTTCACCTCACTCCACACCTGTGCATCAAGATATGGATTACAGTCCAGATAGAAATAAACAAGTAGTAGTAGTCTGACACACACTCTGCCACAACAAGCAGGATTTCAGTCGCCTGGTGCATAATATACTAAATACAGATGTTCCGATACCATTTTTTCCCTCCCGATACCGATGTGCTGTGGGTATTGGCCGATACTGAGTACCGATCCGATACCAGTATGT